CAGCAAAGGACTAGTCTTGGCACCTCCCTGATCCAAAGACTACCGTTTCCAATGGCCATTAAGGTGGAACAGGAGGCAAAAGGAAGATTTCAAAAAGTCACCAAACTGGGATGCCACTTATAAAAATAAATAAATAAGAATTTGATATGTCAATAAAAATATTTTAATAATATACATATTCTTTCAAATAGATTTTTTGATGTTAATGTTTTACATATTCTCAATAGTTGTGAATTTAATGAAAATAAATACAAGACAGAATTAGTTAATAACTTTAAGGACTTGTATGTCTTAAAGTCTGTGGGTTTGACGGACTCACGAAAAAGGCTGTGAAAATACCCACAGGACAGGCATCAAGGCAATCTTCCATTCACTATAGTTTCGTTTCCTGCATCTCGTAAGGTAGAAAAAAAATTACCTTACATTTTCTAGAGAAGTACTAGGGATATTCGAATTTCTGCTACTGAAGCCTGTATGGATATAAAAATGATGATCAGAAAATCAAAGATTTTAAAGCTTACAAAATAAATCTTACACTTCTTATCAATACAAATTAAAATTTGAATTCTTTTAATAGAAAACAGAGTTGGAGAATTTCGACTATGAATCAGTTACACCCTATAAGCTAGAGTATGTGACCAGGGTCTATGCAGAATAAACTGGCTAAGGCTGAAGGGGAAGTCAAGAGAGCATGGCTTGCTTCCAGGGAATGATACAGCTGTTGTATCAGCAAGAAAAACTGTCAGTCTTTGGAAGCAACAACTACTAAAAAAAGACTGTAATCCACACTTTCTGATATGCAAGCGCCTCAAGCTTTCAAAATTATAAAATGGACAAATTATGGTTCATAGTTCATTTTGTTTTTGAAGAGTTATTCCGAACACTGAGAAAGCCACACAGAAAAATACTGACAAAACTATCTAAAAATGTGACCTGTATGCACTTAATTTTTCTATTTGCTTTCCACATGATCTTTAGAGGATTTAAAAGAATGTTTACATCCTAGCTTCTAGGCATATAGATTTTCAGGAATCTTCAAACAGAAGGAAATATTCTGAAGAACTGTGAATATAATTTGACATGGGATGCATTTAACAGCTGGAAGGATTTCACACTTAGAGCCCAATTTATAAAACTTTCAAGTTGGCATTGTTTCAGTTCTAGTCGTGGAAGTCATAATTTCCCAAAGAATTTTTTTTCTGGATTTGGAAATTATTTGTGTAAGGAAAATGCATATTTCAAAAATAAAGCTATCATAGCAGAATCTGGCCAAGTATAAATGTACAATTTCAGAAAAGTGTCTGAGGGCATCATCCCCCTCTTTCCTACTCTTATTCAATTCAGAGAGCCAGCTTCATTTCTTAAAGATCAAAGTTCTTTCTTTGCAAGAAAGCAGTCTATATTTTCACATCCCATATCCTTAATTATCCCAAGATACTTGCTACTGCATTAAAAGAGAAAACACAAATTCTAATATGATAAATATTAATAATAAAGAATAGAAACTAATTTAGTTTTGTTCTAATGTGTATGTGTGTATGTCTGCATGTGCATGTTTTGGTGGTAGTTGTGTGGGAGATAGAAGAAAAGTGAGATTAAAATAAAGAGACTGAGGAATTAGAGTGGAATTAGCAAGATTAAGTATGGAAAATAATAGTTACCTAAGAGACAAACAGCAGAGAAGTGAACCAACCCAATTCTGCTATTGCTGCTATTAGCTAATATGCTCTGTATCAGGTCTTGTGCTTCCAGAACACTGGAACGTTGATGGACAGTGGAAAAAGTGGGCATTGTATCCTTCCTTTCATAGTATTTCCTTGGAGAGGCACTGAGAGACTTCTTGCATGTCCAGATTTCTCTAGATTTAGAAGAGAGAATCAAAACGTGGACTCTGTTTTCAAATTGTAATTTGATGCAGCCTCAAAGAAAATTTTACAAAATCACCAGTAATACAACCACCATCATGAGGCATCGAGTTGTCTTGGCCTTGCCTGGACCATTTAAATGTCTTTCTCTGGCTCTTTAAAATATCTTTCTTTGGCTCTAGGAGGTATTTGTTTGATTTCCATTGCCCCATTTCTTTTAGACTGAGAGAGACTCTAATATACGTGAGTGTTTTACATGTTAAAGATGTTCTAAAATTATATTTAACCATTGTATAGGCACTTCCTACAAAATCTGAAAATGTTGTGCAGCATTTGACATGCCATAGAATGAGAAATAATCATTGGTGGAACTTTCACCAAACTTTTCATAGAACCAAAGGCTCCATTCCCTTTAGTTACATTTGGGATTGCATTTTTAACCTCACGTAAATCTGCCTTGCGCTCATTTGTTTTAGCATTTACATTCAAATGCTTTATTTAAAGGAATTTTGACATCTTTAATCTTATGAAAATTACTCTACTACCATGGGAATCATAGGCACCTGGGGATTGGACAAAATATTTTGTATACTGTGTGCTACTGTTTATTCACTGTGCGACTCTGAGCAAATTACTGTACTTCTCAGGGACTCACCTGACTCATTCGTAGTGTACTGCACTAGATTACGGTAAGGATAGAGTAATATATGTTTTACATATATACAGAAAGAATAATATTATATAGTATATATGTGTACTGGAGAAAGCACCTAGAGTAACACATATAGGATGGTAAAAGTTCCATCAGTGATTATTTCTCATTCTATGGCACGTCAAATTCTGCACAATATTTTCAGGTTTTGTAGCAAGTACCTATACAATGGTTAGAAATAATTTTAGAATGTCTTTAACATTTAAAAGACTTGTGTGTATTACAGTCTCTCTCAGTCTAAAAGAAATGAGATAATGGAAATCAAACAAATATACCCGCAGGAGTTTTATACTAATTGTAAAATGTACCAACTTTTATAGAGTTGTCTGAAAGGTGAGTTTCTTAAGGTAAATGGCAGGAGGAACCACTGGAAGGCTATCCAAATGTAAGTTTTTCAATACTTGAAATCTGGTTCCATTAACAAATCATGTTACATATCATAAAGAATATAGTTATTTTAACTCCTGAATGCTCCCTGATACAATAAATGCAAAACTGAAGATGTGGACTATTTAAAAAAATTATCTGCTATCACTCCACCACTCACTTTAAACAGATCTTCGGTCACAAGCCTAATTAAATAAATAGAAGTATGGTGTGCCCCTGGTGATGTCCTGGTTAATTCCTCTCTGGTCACTGTGAGCTGTGCGGTGAAAACAAGCTGCACAGCTTCTGCTTGGCTGAAAGCACACAAGATCACAAAATCTGCTTATCCCTGTTTTGTTTTAACACCTGTGAAAAAAACACAAGACTGTCATGTGGCACACAACAGGCTCAGGTGTCTCCCTGTTTAGAAGCTAGGAATCCTGAACAGCAGGAGGAAATAAGATTATAATATTAATAAACACCTGCCATTATTGTTAGACTCATTGGCTCCATCCCAGTGAAATAGTTAATCAGCTAAACCTAACAAAACAATTGTCTAAGCACTAAGCCAGTGTATATTATCACATTACTCCGAGTCTGCCCTGTGATAAAATATGAGAACACTCACGTACTGTACTGCTCTGTAAAGTAGGAGAGCAGAGTCTATCCTTGGATATGAAGGTAAAAGTAATAACAGTGCTGAGAGGCCTGTTTGTGTGTGCCAGACACTGTTGTAGATGAATCCTGGGGAAATTGCAGTGAATGGGAAAAGAAAGGCCCCTGTTTTGATGGAGGCCACATTCTACTGGGAAAGACAGATGACAAATAACAAGCCCAGTGATTCCCCTTCCTGCTACACTCACTTCACTGGGTGCATCTTCCTCTTAGTATTTATCAGTGAGATGGAGAATCAGAGGTGAGTAAGGAACAAAGTGGACAGAGAGGACAGAAGAGGCCTGACTAAAGAAGAGACATTTGAAATAACAGCCAAAGGAGGAGGAGAAAACAGCCCTGGGTAAAACTGGAAGAAGACAGGCAGGATGCGGTGGCTCATGCCTGTAATCCCAGCACTTTGGGAAGCCAAGGCAGGCAGATCACTTGAGGTCAGGAGTTCAAGGCCAGCCTGGCCAACATGGCAAAACCCTGTCTCTAACAAAAATACAAAAATTAGCCAGGCGTGGTGGCAGGCACCTGTAACCCCAGCTACTTGAGAGGCTGAAGCAGGAGAATTGCTTGGACCCATGAGGCGGAGGTCATAGTGAGCCAAGACTATGCCACTACATTCCAGCCTGGGTGACAGAATGAAACTCTGTCTCAAAAAAAATAAAAAATTAAAAAATTAAAACTGGAGAAGACAGACTGCCAAGATGAATACAGATGATTAAGGACATGACACAAGAAAACAGAGGAGAAGGACTCAAACCAATTTCTGAATAACTACAGGCCTATACTCTTCCCATGACACCAGGCAGAATCGCTTCTTTGGAGTAAAGGAAGTGTGGATGATACAATGAGTATCCATTACAATCAGTGACTCTCGCTTTCCTAACAGTATGAGCATGTTTACTAGGCTTTGAATATGTGCAATCATCTCAAGACCCATTCCTCAGGAAGGTTTTGAAACACCAAAGCAATGCCGCTTTGAATACATTCTCTATCAAAGTGTTTTTTTCCACTTCACTTTTGCAGGACTTATTGCAAGTTGACTCCTGTTTCTTGAATTATTCAAGTTTTTTATTTTTAAAGGTAGCATGGAATATATAAATACCATTTCCACACGCAGATCAAATGGTTGAGAGGGAAAAACAAGCCATCCAATTGTGGGTGAGAAAAAGGATAGGAAACCACAACTTTATAAAAGTGTCTGTTACAACCAAATGTATTTGACTATCCTATTTTGAATTAAACAGAAGGAGGAGATAAAATAGAAAGGAGTTATGGATATTATTGGCTATAAGCTGCTTGAAGACAGAATTCGTGACTGCTTTATCTCTATGTCCCAGACTGTCTTGCACAAAGAGCTCAATAAATATTTGTTTAAGAAAATGAAAACTGGAGAGGAGGCGGCATAGCCGCGCGGAGGAGGCAGGAGCCGGAGCGCAAGCAGTAGCTGGGTGGGCACCATGGCTGGGATCACCACCATCGAGGTGGTGAAGTGCAAGATCCAGGTTCTGCAGCAGCAGGCAGATGATGCAGAGGAGCGAGCTGAGCGCCTCCAGAGAGAAGTTGAGGGAGAAAGGCGGGCCCGGGAACAGGCTGAGGCTGAGGTGGCCTCCTTGAACCGTAGGATCCAGCTGGTTGAAGAGGAGCTGGACCGTGCTCAGGAGCGCCTGGCCACTGCCCTGCAAAAGCTGGAAGAAGCTGAAAAAGCTGCTGATGAGAGTGAGAGAGGTATGAAGGTTATTGAAAACCGGGCCTTAAAAGATGAAGAGAAGATGGAACTCCAGGAAATCCAACTCAAAGAAGCTAAGCACATTGCAGAAGAGGCAGATAGGAAGTATGAAGAGGTGGCTCGAAAGTTGGTGATCATTGAAGGAGACTTGGAACGCACAGAGGAACGAGCTGAGCTGGCAGAGTCCCGTTGCCCAGAGATGGATGAGCCGATCAGACTGATGGACCAGAACCTGAAGTGTCTGAGTGCTGCTGAAGAAAAGTACTCTCAAAAAGAAGACAAATATGAGGAAGAGATCAAGATTCTTACTGACAAACTCAAGGAGGCAGAGACCCGTGCTGAGTTTGCTGAGAGATCGGTAGCCAAGCTGGAAAAGACAATTGATGAATTGGAAGATAAACTGAAATGCACCAAAGAGGAGCACCTCTGTACACAAAGGATGCTGGACCAGACTCTGCTTGACCTGAATGAGATGTAGAACGCCCCAGTCCCACCCTGCTGCTGCTTCTCCCTCTGACCCTGACTCCGCCTGAGGCCAGCCTGCCCGAAGCTGACCTTTAACTGAGGGCTGATCTTTAACTGGAAGGCTGCTTTCTCCTTTCGCTGCCCCCTCCTCCCCTGTGTCTTATTCGCCAAACTGTCTCTGCCTCTTCCCTGGAGATTCCAGCTGGGCTAGAGGCTGAGCACCTTTGGAAACAACATTTAAGGGAATGTGAGCACAATGCATAATGTCTGTAAAAGCATGCCGTGATATACACATTTTGTAATTACCTTTTTTGTTGTTTTGTAGCAACCATTTGTAAAACATTCCAAATAATTCCACAGCCCTGAAGCAGCAAGCTAATCCCTTTCTCACTTTTGGAAGGTGACTTTTCAGCTTGATGCATATTGCCCTCTCCATAGAGGAGAGAAAAAGGCCCTGCCTTATTGAGAGCCAAACAGAGCCCAGGGAAGGACTCCACTATGGGAAACCTCATTGCTCTGTACAAAGTACCAGCTAAACCAGAAAAGTGATTCCAGGAGGAGTTAGCCAAACAACAACAACAAAAATGTGCTGTTCAAGTTTTCAGCTATAAGATCTCTTTGGACAACATTATTTCTATTTTTTATTTTTTCATTACAAGTGACCAAATTAAGATGGTAAGATCTCTGAGACCAAATTTTTGTCCCATCTCTACTCCCTCCCAACTGCTTACAGAATGGATCATGTGCCCCTTATGTTGAGATGACCACTTAATTGCTTTCCTGCCTCCTTGAGAGAAAGAAGATTGTTTTTGCCACTGATTTAGCCATATGAAACTCATCTCATTACCCTTCTCTGGGTTTGAAGCTGCTGTCTCTCCAAGTGCCATCTCATTGTGCTTTGTATCAGTCAGTGCTGGAGAAATCTTGAATAGCTTATGTACAAAACTTTTAAAATTTTATATTATTTTGAAACTTTGCTTCTTTAGATTTGCGGCACCCTGGCCACCCCATCTGGCTGTGACAGCCTCTGCAGTCCGTGGGCTGGCAGTTTGCTGATCTTTTAAAGTTTCCCTACCCGGTCCCCATTTTCTGGTAAGGTTTCTAGGAGGTCTGTTAGGTGTACATCCTGGAGCTTATTGGCTTAAAATGTACTCTCCTTTTATGTGGTCTCTTTGGGCCAATTGGGAGAAAGAGAAATCAATAGTGTAACTGTTTTGATACTGAATATTGACAAGTGTCTTTTTGAAATAAAGAACCAGTCCCTCCAAAAGAAAAAAAGGAAAATTAGTGATAACCATGTAATTGACCAGCAAATGCATTGTAAGGAGACAGAATGATAATAAAATATTTGTATTATGTGGGCAATAAGAACACAAAGAATATTAATATTAAGGAAAGAAACCACAGAACAACAAAACAAGGGCATTGCTTTCCCTTAGGAGAAAAGATAGCAAATAATAAACTTTAAAAGCCAAATAATAGTATCTTGTGCATCAAAGAGTTGGTATAGATGTTCATTTTCCTTTATTTTATGGAATATTTAAGCCTAGAAAGTAAAAGAGCCGTATCACAATTTGTTTATATGAATGAAGATAGGGAGATAAAACTAAATTTTAAAATGTGACCACTCACCTACCCTGGGCTTTTAGTTATGAGCAACTGAATAACTAGAAGCTATGGAAATAAAACGGGGAGGCTGGAGACCCAAGCTACAAACCTGGTTTCTTTTACATTTCCCAGTTGGACTATTAGAACTGAATTAAAGAACTTTGCTGAATTATTCTGTTGGCCTAAGTAAGTCTGGCCAGAAGCTCAGAAACAGAAACATATTGCAGAGGGCACAGGGGGGTCTCGGACAAAGAACTGTGGCTTCACTCACACACACCCACACACTCACACACTCACACACACTCACACTCACACACTCACACACACTCACACTCACACACACACACCCACACACACTCACACACACCCACACACTCACACACACCCACACACCCACACACTCACACACACCCACACACTCACACACACACACACTCACACACTCACACACACCCACACACCCACACACACACTCACACACACCCACACACTCACACAAAAACACAAATTTCTTGCTGGTGAATCAAGAAAGTAACCTCTTTAAACTCTCAAAATTAGAAAAAACAGACATGAGTGCTCCGAACCAGAATTGCTTTAGGAATGTTATAAGCCTTTGGTCTGTTTCAATAGGTATGTAATGACACCATTATTAACCATCATATAAACATAATTGTAAATGAAAGACAATCTGAGTCTGTTATAGTGACATTCCATGTTCCCTTTCAATACTGAACCTCACAAATTAAGACCTGAACTGATTATAATAATGACTATTTTAAATCATTAGTGCTAGCAGTGCACAATTCTATTATTACAACATAAAGCAAAATATTAAAGGGAAGTTATCATTTACATAAATTACTTAAAACACTTGGATCTTAGAAAACTAAGTGAGCGTGCAAGGGATCATCAACTCCATTGGGAGTGAAAATGTGCAGATGTAGCCTGTTGGAAATTGGCTAAAAACTAAAGAAGAGAACATTTTACAAGGTATGATTGGGTTGATAATAAAACATCACAAAATACTTGATTGAGCAAGTAAGGTAAAATGTTAATGGTAGAATCTAGCTGGTGAGTATATAAATTCACTATAAAATTATTTCAACTTCATTGTATGCTTGAGAAAATTCTAAATATAATGGGTGAAAACAAGATTTAGGGAAATCGTAAAAAGTGATAGCTAAGAGAAATGCATGAAGAACACAAAGACCTGGAAGGGTGAGATGATACTATGCAGCATCACTGCCCAATAGAGAGGAAGTACAGCACAGTAGCTAAGGGCACACTCTTTGAAGTTAAACACATCTGGAAGCAAATCTTAGCTCTAGCATTTACCAGCTGTATAACTTTGATGTACTAACTCTGTAGGCCCCTCTTATGGCAACAGTAAAATGGAGACAATATTGCCTACTTCATAAATATATAAACATAAAAAGTCTTCACAAGATATTAAATATTATTTATAGTTGCCACTGCTAACAATTGTGGAAACAAAATTCCACCAACTGTAGGTTAATAAAGTAAGTGCATAAAACTAGCCCCTTAATGATACATATGAAGTACTAATGCTGTATCAATTAAGATGTTTTGGGTGCAAATAGTGAAATAAATAAAGATCAATTTCTGTTTGGCTCACATAACAAGAAGTCCAGTTGTAGAGGGCTTCATGGTTGGTTAATTCAGCAGCGTAACAAAGTCAAATGCTCAGGGAGAATTTGGTTTCCTCTTATGGTCCTAAGTTGGGAGCAGCAGCTTTCAATCATTTCCTCTCAGTATGGCATCCAGAGCAAGAATAAAAAGGGCAATGTTGCTTGCATATCTCTCTTGTTATCAAGGAGGAAGCATTTCCTTAGAAATCCTATAACCTACTTACCTTTGTGTCTCATTATCCAGAAATGAATTACATATTTCCCCCTAAACATTCACTGACAAAGGAGGATGAACTGCAAGGATTGGTTTAAAACAGTGTGGTTTATCCCCTAAATTTAGACAAGGGGTGCATCTTTCCTGAATGCAGTATTGCCAAATATCTGAAAACAAATCAGAATGGTGTTGGCAAGAAAAATGAGGAAAATGGCCATTGTGCTGGTAACCAACAGTTGTGTACTATATATGGTACATAATAATTATATGTTAATAAAAACATACACAGATTACATCCTGATCGTGATACCTGAGTGACATAAAATAACAAAGTCATCCATGACATAAGAGAGTCTTTAAGCCTGCTAAGACTTCTTGCAGCAAGTGTTCTACCAAAGTATTTCACACTGAAGTAGATTATTTGGTGATACTCTATGCTCTGTTCACCTTTGACTATAAAGGATGAAAGGCTTTCATGAAACAGAATGATTCCCTTTTAAAACCAATGTCTTCTCTGTCAAAATGTCTCTGAGAAACCAAAACATCCATAAAAGTGCATTTGCTTTATACATTTCTTCAGGGTAAAATTTATAATTAATTAGTGGATTAGTTCATATTACAAAATAAAAGCTTACAAATGCCCATTGTTAGAAAAATATTTTGATTGTAGTGTGTGAATTTCTTAGTTGGAAATAGTTACCACAAGAAACGAAACATAAATGGCACAGTTCCGTTCAAATTTTTACTGTAAAGATGTTCCGTATATAAAATGTGATATTCCGGACTGTTTGGTTAATGGAAAAATACAGTTTACTAATACTTAAGTTAGTTACTAAGACTAAAGTTTAGGTAGATTGCTCTGTCATCCGATGCTAGAAAGGTGGACAGAGTCGAGCAATGTACATTATGAAACTTCTGGATAAACAAAGTTTTACATGAATAGGGACCAAGCAGCCCTTTGGAAAACATGCCCTAGGTCCCCAGCTAATAGTATTTTGTGAGGCTTGTATTCAAGCCAAAAATCTTTGAAAGTCCTGAGGGAGCTACAGTACCTAAGTTTCAGCTAATTTAGCATCATTTAAATGGGGCCATGCTATATATCTTAGAGTCTGGATTTCTTTATTTCCAATTATTTAATGGACTCATTGAAAAACAGTTTTATAAAAAAGACCCACATGATTTTCTTCTTGTGTGTGTAGAAAATACATTTCTCTACTTCTTTGAATGAAATTTATTTCAGATCAGCAAATATTTCTGAGTTCTTATTGCAAAACCCTGTTGTGTTAGGTGTTTTGGAAGAGCAATGGAACCTAAAACATAACCCCGGACTTCCAGGATTTCGAGTGATGTAGTATTAAGTTCTGGGTATCCTCAAAAATTTGTTCTCCAGAATAAGTTTAAGAGATCTACACTGTACAACATGGTGACTACAGTTAATAGCCATGTATTGTACACTCAAAAATCTTTAGGAGTAGATTTTTAGTGTTCTTACCCCAAAATGATACATATGTGAGGTCATGCAGATGTTAATTAGCTTAATTTAACCATTCCACAATGTATACATATTTCAAAACATGCTGTGCACCATAAAGATTTCTATTTATCACTTGAAATAAATAAATGATTTGAACAAATCTTTTTTTCTAAGATATTCTGTCATTTGCAAACTCTTTTGGAGTAACCAGCTCTTGGATGAAACAAAATTTAAAAATCTGAAGGCAGGTAGGGTACAGGAGTTACATTGCAGGGAGACTCTCCTGTTTCTATGCACATCTATATCACTCAAAAACTTTATTTAAAAATGAACATGTGTTTTTCTGTTAAAAAAGTAATAAACATTTGTTTTTACCTTAACATTTTTGTAACACTAATGACAGTTATTCCATATTCATAAACATCAAAGAGGTTATACTATGTATGCTGCAGCCAGCCTCCAAAATGCACCCCCTCCACCCCCGCCCAGGGATCTCTGCCTCCTTGTTTTCTTAGCCTCCCATATTTCCCTATCACATGGTACTAGGTTTGGTTGATATGACCAGTGGAATATGGCAGAAGAGATGCATATCGCTTCTGAGACTAGGATATAAAAGACAGAGGCTTTCTTGGGGATGAGGCTTTCTTCATCATGAGGCTTCTCTCAGAATTCTCTTTGTCTCCCTCTGTCTTTCTCATTAGCGCTGTGGGGGAAGCCAGATGCAATGTGATGAGAACACTTACACAGCTCATTGAAAAGGGAGAGGTTCATATGATAAAGAACTGAAGTCTGCCAGCCATCATAGAGCTTGAAAGTGGATTGTCCAGGCTCAGCTGAGCATGCAAATGACTACAGATGCAGCCAACATCTGTATGTGAGATAACCAATGTTTCTTGTTTGATGTTTAGTTTGGGAATACAATGTTTAGTGCTGAAATACAATGTTTAGTTTTGAGATAACAGTGTTATCCCAAATGATGCTTAGTCTGGGGATAAGTTGTTTTGGAGCAATAGATAACTAATAAAATATCAGTGTCATCCCCTGACAGATGATCCCATAACAGGGTCTAGTTTGGTTATGGAGAACTTATTCATTTCTAGGTTAATATGCTCAGATTTTCTACCTTAAAATTTGATTCTAAAAAGTCCATTACGCCTCAAAGCCAAGTATCTTTAGCATTTATTTTTATCTCATTTATTAACAGCTAAGCAATTATTAAAATGTTATTTTTATATGCAAATTATAATTTGCTATCTTTCAAATAACTTCTGTGATTGCTAGAAATGTAGGCTTGAAATAGTTCTTTTTTTAATTTTTAAATTTTT